TTTGGCTGCTGTGACTGAGTTGCCTCCTTTGAGAATCTCCAGAAGAAGACATCCATACCGTGTCTGCCTCATGGTTACACTGGTGCCGATCTCTGCTCTAGTTAGTCCACAGTAATAGTTGCACACCATCAGTATTGTGTCTCTGTAACTCTTCTCGTCGGAATTTTTGACGAGGATCGCTGGTGGTTTTTTTGGAAAATCCTGAAGGCTGCAAGCGGGAGCGAGTTGTGGGCTGACGCACCGCCGTCGTTAGATTTTTTCTGGTGCGTCGACTGAATACTTGGGACCAAATTTCTGTGTCAGTTTCCATTGCAATGTCCGTCTCTACTTCCTGYGGGAGCGAGCCACTTGGTACCTTAGATTTCCATGTTATTCTGCGAGCAAATGCCACCTTCGACTCTATAACCACGTCGCTATCCTAATAGCCCAGGGTCAGAATCACATCCGAGGAGGAATCAGCAGTGGAAATGTTCTTATTGCTGGTATGTTCTGTGTGAGGTGATCTGAACAGGTTCAGCACATTCCCAATCTTCGAGAGAAGGGAATTTATCGTTTGGTGAGCCTCATTGGTTTGATCTAGCAGGCTATGTAAGTAACTCTTTTAAAGAAAATTTTCTTTGTATCGGAGGCAGCCGCTTTGAGTATGGACCTCGATTTGTTCAATTTTTCCCTGAGGCTTGCGCACCAGTCGCTCGTGTTGACCTGAGGTGGTTCCAATGTGGCCTGGGAGGTCTTAGCGGTCTTCATCTTATTTTTCTCAGGCACAAATGGGACGTCGAATCTCCGATTAAAGGTGTCTGCTCCAGTCAGTGCCACCACGACCCGGTTTGTGAGATCCATTTTACCATCTGAGCTGGTGTAAGACATTGTGCTACCAAGGGCCCAAGACCCGGGTCGCTGGTGGACTGAATTGTCTTCGCCTGCCTGTTTGCTGGTCCAACTTGTCTTGTTCACCGTCGTGGCTGAACTTGGTGGTCGCGCACGGGGTCTTGTAGCCGACGGGTAATGATCTGCACCTGCACGCGCGGATTGTCTCGAACACTGGGCGTGGTTTGGTGCACTTTCGCGTACAGGAACGCGCGTAGTTGACCACTGAGCGTGGTTAGCGCCTGCGCGCGTGGAGCTGCTGCTGTTGGGCGCTGTGCTTGGTTTAGCACGCACCTGCGCGCATGGATTTAACGATGCCTTGAATAGTGACTGCCTCTGGAGAGCTACAGACCRCTTAGTACGTCTGCTCTGAAGCGCTGCCACGACTCGACTGAGAAGTATAATACACTAAAATTACCGATAAAATAAAATATTCATTACGAAAACGTTTTAAAAATGATTCGTTTTATCTTATTTGACGTTAAGCATGATCATATATGTAAATACAAAATGGAACTTATTCTGGTTGAATTATTTAAAAATTAGTTAAGGGCTGTCTCACTAAAATTTGAAACATATTTTTAAATCATGTACGTATACTGTATACATACTAAAGTATGTGGAAATCAAAATAGTAGAACGTTGAGTTAAAACATTATTGTTTTCTTTTGACTTATTTTTGTGGTTATAAACAATTTTTTATTTCATTAATAATACCAAAACACAAATATACTATAAGTGTTTGGGCGTAAAAACTAGACATAAACTAATATAAAATGGGTATAAATATATCGATATTCATTTTAGGTATAAACAATTCAATTATTGTTTTTCAAAAGAACTGAAAAAAACTTAATATGTAATTAAAACGATGTCAAAATAATGGACCTAAAGTTATTCTATGATAATATATAGAGTGCTCTCAAAGACATGGTTAATTCAAATTATATGAATGTTTCTAACATAATGGTGTTTCTTTGAAGGTAGGCTTCTTAAAACACGAATGAAAATAGAACTTTGACAGTAAATTATTTCATCAAACAAGTAATAAATACTTATACCTACAGCAAATAAACCTATGAAATAATAATCACACTTAACTTTATAAATTCATAATAGGTAGGTACACATAAAATAATAAATCAATCGTGACTAAAATAACAAAAAACCTCAACTCCTTCATTAGACGTTAAATTTTAAATTAATTGTAATAATTATTTATTATTAATGAGCACCCAAATCGAAGTTACGAACATAAATATACTTTCACAAATTCAATGTTTGATTAATTTATTTTTAGTCTCGTTTTTTAGGAATAACATAATTAAATTCTAGATTGTGGGTCAAACAAAATTATTTTTTATAGATTTTTTTTTTAAATTTAAATTTTAAACTTTCGAAATAAATAAATCATCCTGAAATTTTAGAATATGGTTTTAAATTTACATTTAAAAAATTAGCTACACATTTTTTTGGAATAATTTAAGCGAAAAATGAAAAATCCTAAATTTTTCACTATACAGTCGACTATCGATAATTCAAAGTTGACGGGACTATTGAAAAACTTCGAATTACCAATAGTTCGAATTGTTGAGTAGTTTGAAATAGCGAGAGAGTAAAACAAAAACAAAATTTGAATTACTGAGAGTTAAGAGTTAAATTTTTTTTAATTGTACATAATTATTAATTATTTTAGCAAATTAGGTGGTATTACTATAGTACATATTATTAGAGTTATATATTGTTTTTAAATTGCAAATTAAACTATAATAATAATATTATACTACATAAATTTAATTATGATTTTAAAATATTATTATTTATTAAAGAATTTTAATGGTTTTCTGCTTCATCAAATTTATTTTAATTTTTTCATAACTTTTTACATTAGGTTAATATTCTTCGAATTACCGAGCGTTSAACAGATGATACTTCAAATCGTCACGTGGTAGTGGTTAGTTTTACCAAATTTTAATTTTGAATTACCGAGTGTATTTTTCTTATTGGAATTACCACATGATTTTCAAGGGACCGAGCATTTACTTCGTATTACCAAAGGTTTTTGATTATTGAACATTTTAATCATCGAGAGTCGACTGTATTAGAATTTAAAACTTCTTCACCTCATCAATACATTTACGGAGGTTCCATTTTTATTTTAAAAGTTTTATTTCAAGAGACCACAATCATCATATTTAGAAAGCAACTAACTAATTTAACTTCTAAGTAACAATTTTGTGAATTCTTCGTTTTTGTAATTATAAACTTCATTTAGATGGTCGGTATTAGATTTACTTTAGCTAATATTATTATTGTTAAACAAAAATACATAGAAATATGTTTTAGTCAAAGCGCTGTTGATTAAAATTAGAACATAATATCTAGTTTAAAACCAAAATAATGAGTATAAAATATATCGATATAAAATTTATTATGTATTATTACAATCGTTCTGTATTAAATTATGTAGAATTAAACATTATATGTTACTGATATCATTATCATCATTATACTTTTAACATCGTATTCAAACAAAAGCTGTTGAACAAAAAATGTAAAAAATTAAAATTATCTTTTATTGTCTTGGTATTTATATACAATAAAGTATTGTACTTTATACATTTATGTATCTAGTTCATCTAACTGCGTTTAATTCGCATGCATCAGAAGCACATTCATTATTTATTAAAATAAAACGTTACAACTAAATGTAGTTATTTGTATACAATTCGTCATATTTAATATAATAACATTAATTATAAGTTATAACACATATAACTACTATAATTTTTGAAATGCCAAGAAAACAGATATGGTAATAGCTTGGTAATAATCACAATTTTAACTATGTGGTTACGTATTAAATGTAATAGTAATAATTATACACTATACAGTGTAAACAGAAAACTAGTATGATCTTTATAAACGCGTAGTATTGGTACGATCCAAATTTTTTTCATTATTATTGTTAATTCATTTACAATAAGACATTCCTTGCCTTTGCCTATAAGACTATCTAAATCTATGGATAATGTAAGTAATATTAATTGTTGGCTATTTTAACATGATAATATTATAAGTAGTAATAATAATGATCATAACAATAGTAATAGTTAAGGTTGGTTAAACATATAGACAATAATAATATAGTGTAGATGAATAATACGGAAACAATTATAATTACATTACAGTTTATAGTAATTAAAAACGGCCTCGTTTTAGACGTTTTTGTGGTCGTGAACGTATAAGTGTAGATTGAAGTGAATTGAGCCTATTGATTTGTGAAGTGAACTATGGAAATTTTTAGCAGGGACACTTATATGATCTCGAATTTCGATAATTCGAAGGTCTTTGAGTAGCTTTTCGTTACGTATGAATCACGTTATTATTCTTAATATTTTCTTTTGGAAATTTTTTATTTTTCTTAAGTGTTTGACTGAACAGTTACCCTAGACATGACAATCGTAGGTGATTAGTGAGCGTAATAATTGCTTGTAAATTAATATTGGACATTATTTATGTATAACTAATTTTTTGTTTAACATAGGAAATAACATGTAGAAGCGCTTGGTAAGCTTATATTGTAGTTTAGTAGCTATATAAGTCACTCATGTTAGCCTCTTGTTTAATGTGACACAAAAGGTACTTGACAGAAAGCTGCCAAGGTATGTAATCTTTGTCGAATCTTAGAGGTAGTGAAGTGAAATAATGGCGTAAGCTGAATATGACTGTTGTGCTTTTTGAGGCGTGTATGTATATTTTCTAGCTTTTGTGCCATTTTGCTAGTAGATTTAAATGATATTGTAAGTTGTTTGTTATTGCATCAATGTGTAACGGGATTCACTGCAAATAGTTGTGCCATCTGCAAACAGAGCAATGTTTGTACGTGGTGACTATGGCAAATAATACTAAAATAGGTCCCAGTTTGAAGCCTTGAGGTGCTCCAGCAGAGATTAGGGGATCAGATAAATTGTCGTTAATTTTAACTGAAAATTGACTATTTGTTAGGAAGAAATTAAAAATTAAAGATATATATCTTCGAAGTATAGAAAGATTTTAGTTTGTATATATAAGACTTTCGTGTCATATTTTGTCGAACGCTTTTGAGACATATATAAAAATACAGCAACAATATGGCAATGTTTTTCAAAAGAAGTACTGATATGTTCCGTTATACGGAAAAGCTGTTATATGGTCGAGTGGTTAGAATTAAACCCAAATTGGAATCTTGGGATAAAATCTGCGTTATTCAAATCATTTTTTAGTCTCGTGTGTTTAACTTTTCAAAATCGAAAATTTTTGATAGGGAGGTCCCGGAAGTAGTAGACTTATCGGTCTGTAGCTATCAGGATTTGATTTGTATTCTTATCAGGTTTTTTATTACATATTGCAACTGTTGCTAACTTCTAGTTCAGTGGAAAGTGTCCAACGTGTAACAAAAAATTAAATAATGAAGTCATAAAGACGAGTCCTTTTGCAGGGAAGTTTTTTGAACATGAGATTGATGATGTGGTCACTGGTCATGACCAGGGGCTTTTTTGTTAGGTAATTTTTTTACAATGAGCTTAATTTAATTTAGTGTGACGTAATCCATGTAGTTTTGAATTGAATAATCAGGTAAATCTAATAACTTACGGACCCATTKTTCATTATTTATATCAGTCATTTGGTTGGTAGAAAATGTGTTGTATAACGTTTCCGAAAAGACGTTATAATTGTCTGCGTTGAATGTTGGTAATTTATTTGCTGTACGGAGAGGGAGAATTATGTTTATTTCTTGGTTCAATAGCGTTTTGGTCTACTTCCATAAATTTGAGTCTCTCGGATGCATATTTAGTAAATAACTGTTATACGACGACACGCGATTGTTTTGTAGGGCTACTTTCATGTCCTTAATGAGTTTCATTCAATGATTTTTTTATTTGCCGTATTTCTTTGATTTTTAAATTGCGTCTAGCATGTTGTTTAACGATCCAAGATAGACAAAGTTTGCCAAACTTTTATGAAGAAAAATACTTTGCATGAAAAACTGCACAACGAATTAGAAAGCTATTAATTTAAATAAAGAAATTAAAACGGGACAATTTTTTAATAATAATGTAGCATAGTAGTATAGTAATATAGTATAGTGTGTAAAATAGTTATTATTGATAATAAATTGTATATTTGATATTTATTTTAAATACCTGCTACTTTATATGTACCTACTTATTTTTATCCTTTTGTCTTTTTAATTAAACATTAATTTATTTACAATCTATACAATATAATAATTAGCATAATAAGTAAATTAGATACAAGAATTAGTAACAGGAGATAGCATTTATGGTCTGGCATTTAGCAGTGCCGCCCGACCAGGTACTTTTTACGTATTATCTATTGTTTTAAATTTTTTTTTTTTGATTTATGGGTAGGTCACTAGGCTTCTGTCTCTTGAGCCTTCTACGTAAATTACCGGGAAGTGAGATGAAGACTAGTTGTTTGATCAATAGATTACCGTGAAAATTTAATTTTGAATGAAATTTCGCTAGTTAATTATTAAGGGTAGACATTTTTATTTCTAACATTATATTTTTGTTTTGAACATATTATTCAATTTTAACTTGTTTACGATGGTGATTTATCAAAACTATATAAACATTGTGAATATTTTAGGACACATAAAAAAAAAATTTTACGAGTACTAGTATTCCGTGTTTTTTATTTTATTTGTTATAATTCTATAGACCGTACCAATATTCCAACAATCAAAGTATACACATTCTGTAAATCAAATTAAACTGACTTTTTAACTATACCAGGTACCTTTTTATAACAACTCACAATTATTGAATTAAACAGTGATAAAATATATTGAATGAATGTCATTATTACTGATATATTGAGTACTGAGAGATTAGGTTAAATATTCAATATCGTATTTGCAATTACAAAGTTACAGTTATGTGCATTATGAATATTAAAATCATTTGTATTGACTTGTGGTTAACAATATAATTTCATCCTAAAGATAAGGTTTTGTTTTATAATGTATGCATCATTAGAAACTTATAATTGTAATATTCGTGATACCTAAAACGAAACATTTGGATACTAATAAAATTTGAAATTTAGAAAAAAAACTATTCTACAGTTGTATCATCCAACAGATATAGCCTAACCTATTTTTATTTTATAGCTTTTCAATTCTAGTCATATTATACAAAGTATTGGAATTAGATCATGATATTTACTTTTTTGGAAAACTAATCATAAAGCAGGAAACATTTCGSTAAATATTTCAATTACCTTTATATTATTTCTTAGCTAAATTATTGGTATGGTATTCCTTATTTAAACGATAATATCCTAAAATATTTTCAATTAGATCTTGAAATAACAACTTATTGGAGAAAGCATTTGGTAAACAACCATTGTGTTTTTAGAAAATCTTGACTTTACTATCACAATTAACTAAATTAGGTTTAGATATTCATATGACCACTTTCATAGGTAAAAAAAACCTTATAAAAATGCATAATTCTGCATAAGGTTAAATTTTTACTCAAAATATATAGGTACTCAAATTAAAATAATTTTAGTTTGATTAAACCCATWTTCGTATTTTCACTTATATTTAGTATCGCAAACTTTTAAGTTAGTAAAAATCATAGTTTCAATCACTTTTGGAATTTAAATTAAGTTTGAATTTGATAAATTTGAAATTAAAAAAATTAATTTATGATACATTGTACTGTGATTTTTTTTTCAATCGTTCATTGTAGTTTAAATTTTAAAAAAAATCTGAGCATACAATATATAATATATTATCCTTCATCATAAAAAACTAATTGATATAAATTTAAAAAGACAAAATAAAAATTAAAAATTCATAATATTGAATATTTTGTTTTTATCATTTATTATTAAAATACACTATCCTTAAATATTCTTTTACAATAATCGTATGCGATGGAGGTGACGTGGCTTGGGTGACAACTGACAGGAGATAAGAAGCCACCCATTGGAGGCACTTAAAGCTGGGAATTTATTTTAATGTGCTAGCGAGAGAGAGTGATTTTGAATACAGAATAAAGGAGAAGAAGGGGTACATACATTTTAGTTAAGTAGGTCACGACACCAGGTACGTTAAAGACGCCTTCTGGGGTCAACAGGAATAGCATTTGTGGATAGTTCGGAAATCAAGGGATTACGATGACTGAGGAACTTGGAGTTTATACGTTTTTACAAAGTTTTTGTGACGTATTGAACTGTTGGAATGAGTAGATCTCTATGTAGAATGTTGTTAGATACAAAGTAGGAAACTTGGTTGTTTGGCGGAGACATTTTGATTGGAAGACTTGAAGTTTGATTTAGTTTAACGTTTTAGCTGCACCCAAGAGTTAGATACCGTATGTCCAGATCGGGTTGAGAAGGAGTTTATATAATAGTGGCTTGTTTTTTAAGTTGACGTGTTGTGATGTGAGAAGATAACGCAATTGACGAAAGCACTTAATTAAGGCAAGTCTTTTGTTGTGGGTGTTAGTTGCCAAAGTTAATCTGCGGTCTAGAAGCAGACCTAGCTATCGGAAATTTTGGGTGGTTGGAAGAGGTACATTGTTGAGGTAGATGAGAGGGCAGACGTTTTACCTTAGTGTAGACGTACAGTAGATGGATTTTGTTTCATTGATTTTTATCTCTCAGGCTTTATACCAGGTTAATAAGAGATTGAGATGATTTTGTACGAGGTTTGAGGCTATTTCGGGGTCGGCATGGATCGCTATAAGAGCCTTGTCGTCGGAAAAGTCGCCAGTTATAGTGTTGGGGTGGCAAGTTCTTTTGAAGTGAATGAATTGAAAAGTAGAGGTGCTGTTATAGATCCTTGAGCTATCCCTGCATGGATTTGTGATACTTCGGATAAGGAGAAGCCAGATCGAACGGCAAAATGTCTGTTTTCTAAATAGGATTTAAATATGAGAAAATAGTATGGTGAAAGAATAGATTTGAGTTTTAAGAGAAGGCCTTTATGCCATACTCTGTAGAATGCCTGTAATTCGTCAAAGGAGGCAGCTGTGCAAATAAGCAATCAAATAAAAAAATATATTAATTACATTTTTTAGCAAAACATTAAAATAAATTTAAAAATGAAATAATTGTAGTTTTTAAATTTTATGAAAATATTAACATACTCTTTTATATCCATTATAATGTCTTTCATAAGATCGCTTACTCATTAATTTTATATAAAGTCGAAAAACTTAGTATTGTATTATTCTAAACTCGAAGAGTTTTGTTGTGGCAAATGTTTATAGTATGCACCCCCAGCGTATTAGTTAGGTTTCAACTATTAACATATTGTTCAACTCAATGCAATAATTAATTATTTGATCAACGAATATTTCAACATGTAATAAATTGCCTTGATAATAATTAATAATTATGGTTCAAATACTTTAAAATTGCATACAACGTTATTTCTAGATAAATGTTGAGAATATATAATTTGTTAATAATTATATTGATTACTTTGTACTTAAATATATAGGGCATAAGTATTACAGGAAATTTATTTCAAAAGTTAATTTAATTTCAATGCTATAAGCTTAATTTCGTTGATAACCACTACCACTTTATACAAAAGGAAATAGATATAAAAACAATGAAAAAATACCTTTGAAATACAAATATATTATTATGGCTATACATATGTATAGCAGCGGAAAGAAAATTAATCAAATTTTGTTCCCTAAGATATTTAAATGAATTTAAATTTAAATAAAAAAATATTTATAATAATACCGCGTAAATTAGATGAATTAATTATTGTGAAAAATTGGATTACATTTTAAATTGAACAAGATTAAATAATTTTATCTTAAATTTAGAATATTTAAAAAAAAATCTTTTATTATTTGTTGATACGTTTTATTAATGTATGTATTTTATTTAAWTCTATGTATTAGTATTATAATAAAATCATCTACATGCTGTACGCGTATAGTAAAAAGTATGACTATAACCCGACTAACAATTTTAATATACATCGGGTGCTTCACGTCAATTTTTTTAGTTTAATACAAAAATGAATACATTTTGTATAAACTATAATTCCGTTAAGCTTTTAGTGTTAATTCAAAACTTATTCTATATTAGTGAAGTCATAATTTAGCAATAAATATTGGTTAAATAGTCCAAATATAAATATACTTATGTGAAACATCAACATAATATTATTATTATTATTAAGTGCTAAGGTAGAAATTATTTAAAAATATCCATGATATAACACTTAATTAGTAAATTGAATTCTTATTAAAATCATAATAACCCTCTCATATTGAATGTATATATAATCTTAATAAATTAACTCATAAAATGATGTATCTCTTATATACTGTAAAAAATTGAAGTAATTTTCATTAAGTACATTATGTAATGAACTAATGAATAATACATATTCTTTGTTTCTTCCAGGCCGTTGTTAGTCTGGACGTTGGTGCGACTTTTGGCGAATCAATAGTCCATGACTTGCCCAGAGATATGACTGTGTGCACGAAAACTACATGTGAGCTACTCAGAATACACCAGAATGACTTTAAAAAGATTTGGGACGTAAGTGATACAATAAAAATAATAATTATTAATTATCTTTAACTTTTTCATTTTCGTAACACGGCGCATCKTATAGGCAATTGTGGTACTGCATTGCTGTTTTTAAATTTTTTGTATTTAATATTAAATATATATAATATTATAATATATTTTTTTTTAATCCTAGTTTTTCGTTATAATATAATAATGTTTAACCACTGATGATTTTTTTGTTTTTTAAACATAGAAAAAAACCATTTTCTATGTAAAATTTGCATCAAAGCAATATATTATATATTTTTCATGTATTAATTGTTAGTACTAATTACTAAGTATCATGTTTACAATTATTGCAATTGTTAAAAGTATTAAACTTATTTTGTACTCGGAATTATACGTGAACTAAAAAAAATAATGCCTGCGAGTTGGTAAAAGTTTGTTTTCTACGTAAATAATCATAATAATAATTTATAATACACAGTAAACTTATTAATAAATCAAGGAGGGAACACTCTATTTAATAATAGTTAATTACAAACAAAATAGTTTTATTTTAATACTTCTATATTATGCCAACCAAAACATAGATCAATAGTAAAGGTATTAAATAAATCTGTTGTTTTGGGTTCCATAAACATAATAACCTTACTTATAAAAAATAACGTAAATATCATACATTTTTTTTAACACTATCGTTTATTTTCACCGGGAATTGTACAAGTCAACGATGGATAAACACTCCATGAATATAAATATAGGTACTTTAAGTATAAATACATAATTATTCATTTCCCTGCGTTTGAAGATACAAAACTTGCATATTCAATTATTATAATATTCAACAGCGATAAAAATAATTTATAGGTAACTAGTATCAAAAACTGAAAACATAGTTTATGCAAAAATATGACGTGTTACTTAAACGATGAAAAGTGTAATTGCGACGCTTCTAAGGTAGCTACTTAGTCTCACCCAGCAACGCCTATTTGTAATGAACTACACGCATCTTCAATCCTACTTTGCTATTAGTTTGTTCATTTATCTAAATYCGTTGAGTTCTATATAATAATATCTAAGTTCTAATGTACCGTATTAATATGGAAGTTCTTTGATATGTTGTATAACATAATACTTATGTTCTATATTATTGCTATTTAAAATATGAATTTTTTTCTTGGACACTCCAAATATTTCTCATATGATAATTATAATGTAAATGTAGTTTCCTAAATTTTCTTCTAAAGACCGTCTTTATGATAGTATCTTCTAATATCACAGATATGCATATCAACATATTGTTTTATTTAAGTTCAAACATAATATTATTAATAGAGTAGGTATTACATAAGATTAACTGTAAAATGAATAGTAACAATAAAATTGGCATTACRCAACATAAAACTATATTTTTATTTACATTTAAAAAAATGTTTTAAGGGATATTTTAAGATTTTTTAATCATATTATAGCACATATTTCAGAATTTCTTAGTTCTATAAAATCCGAACCCCGTTCATAACAATAATTAGTCTGATAGACTGTTTAAAGTCTATAAATAAAAATYCAAAGTATAAAACTAGGGTGATAGCACTCCAGCATCCAGCTTAAAAAATTAGCATAGAAACAAATAACAAAAATATATATTGTAGTTAAAATCCGTTACAAAATATAGTTACATTTTTAAAAGTTTTTTTCTTTTTGAACTAAAATTACTAAAATTCCATACTCAGAGTTCTGGCATGACTTACATTTGATTTTTTAAATATTTTTGAAGGTTGAACTTAAATAGCTATATTAGATATATTGTTTTATTATGTTCAACTGTTTGTCTGCAACGAATATCAAAATTATTATCAAGCATTATACTTACTAAATTTGTTTACAGTATAAAATAAAGCAATGTAAGCGTGTATTTTGATTCCATTACCTATCAATATATAAACTAATTTTAATTTTGTTAATAATCGTATTTGATATATTAACTTAAATCTTAACCGTTAATGTGAATAATTATAAAATAAGCAAAAATTACAATAACTTCCATAAAGATTAAATCAGAAAAAATTGAACAACTCGTTAATCTCCTTAATTACCTTATCAAACATTGTGGCCAACCATCTCGTGACAATTTATTACGGTCAATTGACCGCATGAAAATTTATTGCTTGTGTATATTTTATAATATATTATGATAATAGTAATATCAGGATGATAAAACAGTATACTATAACAAAGATAATGCACACGTCATACGCGCTATTATCCTCTGCAGAAGAATAATTATAGTTCGGTCCAATGACAGTTTATCTTGTCTGTTGTGACAAAAACAGAGTTTGAAAACATTGGATGTTAGCTGAGTGTATGAAGTGTGAAAATGAATATTTTAGTTGATTTATTATTATTTACCTATCGTATTCAACGAATATGGACCGAACAAAAATCGATTTAACATGCACGTGTGTGATGGTACATGCACGAATGACAGTATAAATATATTTAAGTGTTATTAACTTCAAATCTTGGATCCAAAATAGATAAAACACATTGTTATTATTATTATACTTGACGATATCTTAAACTGACAGTCAACTTATTTTCAGAAAATATGGTTTTTTGAATGAAATGTTTGAGTGTAGTTTAATTCCAAGAACAATCTGAAATCGTTGTGAATACTAAAAATGTAAGATTTATTTAGTTTTGGTCACCTGTAAAAAGTTATAATACACTATAAAATGAGCTCAACGTGATGTGCTTAACTAAAACCTGCTTTAAAATCGGTGCCAGTCATTTGGTCGGAGGTAATTTGGTTGAAAAACAGATGGTCGAATATTTTATTAATATAGTCGAAATATTTTGTGGTCGAATGAGTTTTTCGGTCGAAGTAAAGATAATGATTATCTGTAAAATTGGACCCACTGAGGTTTTTTAATAAACAAAATAAATATTTAATTTTTTTTTCTAAAAACAAATAATCATCTAAGGTAAACTTTCACAGAATTATATTTTCACATAATAGTATCACTGTGTATGGTTTAATAATWATTATTATGTCTACTATCTAGACTTACGGGTAAAACTACACTCGATAATCGAGAATATTCGATAACAAGTAACACTCTCCTCGGTCCTCCCCATGCATTAATCGATACGTATTATTAGCTGATCCAGGTTATGATTTATTATAGTAATATAATTTATTAGAGAAATAGCTCAAAATTTTAAATTTAAATTAATTATTATAGGTATTATATTATTTATACTAATACTTACAACTTACAAGTAATACTGAGTATCTATATTCTATACCTACCAATTATTTTAATATTTCACTACAACTTTTTTTTTACATAACATAATACCTAGTTTAGTTAATTTTTAATTGTTTACTTTTGTGTTTTTTTTTTTTTAAATATTTAACTCAAATTATATATTTTTCGACCATGACATATTTCGATTACATAAAATTTCGACCATTTAAATTTTCGATATTATATTTTTTAGTAAAAATTTGTTCAACCAGATGACTTTTCGATCRCTTTTTTTTTTATCACAAAACCTTCGGCCAGACAACCCACACCCCTTTAAAATATATTTGATTATTAGAAAATATTTTTTTAAACCATCATCCATCTGAAAACTAAAATATACCAATGAATTTGAAAGGTTGAAAACCCCTTTTTTACTTACTACTCTTATTTTAAATTTTGGAAGATAAGTTATCCTATTTAGATATCATTAGAAACAAAAAAAAGTTATAATCTTGTATTATTTCTCACAATATCTTTCTTCTGTAATTAAAAAGTTGTATACTTTTATCCAACTACACGGAAATAGATGATAAGTCCAGAATATAACAACAATACATTTTAGTTAACGGCAGAATAGAAAAATATATATCACTGGGAATCTAACCAAATGCTAAACGATATGGTAAACTAAAGTAAATATATTTTTAGGATTATGGAAAACAGAATACATGAAAATACAGGTATTATCTACCWTGCACCACAATTTACACATACGAATTCTAACTTAATATATTCATTTTATCACTATCATTTTAAAAATGATAGATTTGACTTGATTTACAATCCCCTTATATTTTGTATATTATTTTAGTAAATCGTACATTAATATTTACAGCGTAAACATATTAGTAAGACACAAACTTTTTAACATAATATTACAATAATAAAAGAGAATGTATTTTATCACGTTGTTCTTGTCATCGAAGACATTCTTTCAAATTTAATACTGTTCCTACACAATTTATTATGTATAATTAATTTAAAATTGTTGTTATAYAGACAAATAGTCTATTTTTGTGGATTGATACGCATCGACGACAAAAATAAGTGAACTAAASAGGAAAAATCYCACGCCTTATTATCTGAAACAGAAGACACTTACAGCCTACATTAAATTCGGAATTTTTTCATTAAATCTATAAAAAAAGCTTAAAATTGTTTTTTGATTTTAATTGATTTTAAAGATATATTAGAAAGTTTAAGATTCAAATATTAAAAACTGAATTCAACATAGCCTGTAGAATTTTATCATTAATTAATAAAAATGAAGGATCTATTAAATTTGGTTGATTCTACAGGACAAGGTCGATATTTTCGTAGACTGTAGTGTACTTTCGTGTACAAAATCATATTGATATCAGATGTCTTAATTAGATATTTGGATATTGGAGTTGGTTTATTTTATTTTAAGTTATAACAATATTGAAAATTTGTTATCGACTTGTTTATGAAAATTAAAATATAATAATATTATATGATTTATAAGTTTTCGTGTTAAAGCTGTTAAAAATATTTTAAATACAACGAGTAATAATTTTTTTATCATTTTATCGTAAAAAATTTTACCAACAACTTTATATATTGAATTAACACTTAACAAACATAACATTTTTTATGATAATTGTAATTGAATTAAACACTTTATTGTGTGTTACATGCGTAAAATACACGGAAATACGATGAAATATATGTTCTCTCATTTAATTTATCAAG